CCACAAAACAACCCTATAAGGTAGGTTCTATTATTATCTCCACTGTAACAGATAAGAAAACTGAGGCATTGAGAGAAAAAACCAAGGTGCAAAGCTCATCAATGGCAGAGCCAGACTTTATTTCAGACTAGTTTGTTTCTAAGATTCAAAATGAATTAGCTTCCTGTAGAATAGCTTTTTCAAATTTTAGTGCATCTAAAACTTTTTAAATTATGCACCCCCTTTCAAAATGTCTTAAATACAGAAGTTACTAATTCAAAACAAAAACAATGTTTTAAAAACATTTTCAAATGATAAATTGTTTCTTGGGGTGCCTGGGTGGCTCAGTCGGTTGGGCGTCTGCCTTTGGCTCAGGTCATAATCCCACGGTCCTGTGATCAAGCCCTGCATTGGGCTCCGTGCTCAGCAAGGAGCCTGTTTCTCCCTCTGCCTGCCTGTCTGCCTACTTGTGATCTCTCTCTCTCTCTCTCTCTCTGTCAAATAAATAAATAAAATCTTTTTTAAAAATGATAAATTGTTTCTTAATTTCCTATGTTTTAATTATGTTTTAACAAAAACAGCTTTCATTTTAAAATTGCTACCATTAAGAGGTAATAACAAAAATCTATCAATATTTTAAAGTATAAAGAAAGTTTAGGTATTCATAAAGAAGAAATTTAGCACTGTTAATCAATCAGTTTTTCTGGTGTCAAACTGTCTCAAGAGAGAACTATTAAGCAAGCAAACAAAAAAGCTCACACCTGCACCTACCTAATTCTTCTCCCCAGCAATCCACCTGCCTCCAGCCTCATATGAGCAAGCTGCATTATCAATGCTATGATCTTCATTTTCTCTAGTCTCAGCTACCTTTCCCTCTCACTTCTACATTTAAGGCTTTAGGCTCCTATCTTTTTCTGCTTATACAACAAGAATAATCAAAATCTGATGAACTGAGGGTAGCTAGAGATGGAAGAACTTCTGAAATGTGGTTTGGGCTGTGGCTATCCTACCGTTATCTGGCTGATATTGCTAAAAAAGAGGAGAATCATAATCTGTCAGCTATAGTGTGATATCCTCAAAAGCAGAATTCCTCACCAAAAAGAGCACTGTAAAAGCTTTGAAGATTTTAGGGAGGCCAGAAAATGGGTTGAACTAAAAATATTCTAAGGTTTGAGGAGTTAGGATAAAACATACACTAGTGGTTGAAAGTCAATACTCTGAAAGATAGGGGAAAGACCATGCACCTAATAAAGGAAAAAAATCTACTCAAGAAAAATCTTACTGGAAGAATTCAAAGCCTAGCAAAAGACAGGGTTCAGATTGTTCCCAGGATACAGTTCAAACACAAAGTCAAAGGAATTGTATCTTCTTTTCTATGAATTAAGATACAGGAAAGACCATCCCTGAGCTTTGTGGAGAAGACCAGTGAACTAGCAAGGACGGTGGCACTAGATTAGTTTCCTATTGCTACTATAACAAATTACCATAAATTTAGTGACTTAAAACAACATAAATTTATTATCTTACAGTTCTGGAGGTCAGAAATCTAAAACATATCAGCAGGGTTGTGTTCCTTCTGGAGGCTCTGGGGCAGAATCCATTTCCTTACCTTTTCCAGCTTCTAAAGACTGCCTACAGTCTCTTTAGTTCATTGGCCTCCTTCCATCTTCAAGGCCAACAATCCCCTCACTCCGACCTCTACTTCAGCCTACCTACACAGTACCTACTCTGACTCTGACCCTCCTGAGTCGCTCTTATACAGATGCTTGTGATTACATTTGACTCTTCTAGGTGAGGATAGCCTCCCCATCCAAAAATCCTTAATCACATTAACAAAGACCCCTGCATCATGTAAGCTAACAGGTTCATAGGTTTTGGGGATTCAGATATGGATATCTTCAAGGGGTCCATTATTCTGCCAACCATAGATACCAAAAGATGGGTTTCAAAGAGAGGCTGTCTTGAAAGCAAAGAAACAGTAAACACCTTAAATAAGTTAACATTATACAAGAGTAACAGGTTACTGCTATCCTAAACTCACTTCCTCCATATAAAATAGTGTGCACCTTGGCATTCCTTTGGAACATAATGAAATAGTTTGCACACTATAACACAGCCTAGTGCCTGCGCTGTACTACACCAAATACTGTCAAAGAAGAGGAAGACAGAAAAACTGCAGTAGGAAAGCTTATGAATTTTAAAAGCTTAAGGTATATTAGAGGTAATCCTCTTACTTCCTAGCTGTAGAAAACAACCCAGAGAAGCTCAGTTAAAAACCATACAGGACCATAGCTGAGAAGTATGTCTCTGAATGGCACCCATTCCACCACATCCTTTAAAAGAGATGAAAGCTAACATGTATAGAGTAGCAGCAACAGTTCTCAGAACTTGCTATACATTAACTCAGTTAATATACTCAAAAACAATATGACGTAAGTGGTAGTATCATTCCCATTTTACAAATGAGAAAGACCATGGCACAGGGAAGTTAAGACATTTGTCCAGGGTCACATGGCTAGTAAGTGGTAGAACCGAGATCTGAACCCAAGCAGTCTCCAGGCAGTGTAGTATGGAACAAAGACTTTGGAAGGAGAGGGACCAGGCTTAAATTCACAGTTCACGCCTAACTAGCAATACGAGTTTGGGCAAATTACTTACCTATTATTGTAAGCCTCACTTTTTTTCTATAGAGTGGCCTAGTAACACCTATACTGAATATAAAGTCAAGTACAGTCTATAAGTACCAATGTATGGCAGAAATCTCAATAACATACAGCTAATATTATTATTTCTATCTTTCCAGCATTATTTTGCAATGACTTTTTTCAAGGTTTAATCACAATACCAAATCCTTTCAGTGCTCTGCTCACAATTATAGTAAAAACCAATCTCTCTTCTTTATTCTTTAATATCCTCAAATGTACACCAATAGTGTCCAAGGCCAACCATGTCCAAAGTTTTTCAATAATGGGTCAGAAATCCATATATAATCAGCCTGCAATTGTTAAAATTAACAACAATGAAATAAAGCCTATTCTATTCACAAAATACAAGTTTTCTACCAATATCAAAACAGTAGCATCAGAATTGTTTACTCAAGGTTATTCATACAACAATTCAGACAGATTTTTCTAAGCCCAGAGCAAATAACTTATCAATGTTGAAAGCATTATTAACATCAGTATTTAATGGAATGAATGACTGACATATCTTCAGAGACCCTTTCAACTTCTGAATATAGTAATTCATGCTCTCTTTGGTCATGTAAAAGGGTCTCTTTTCACTAAGCAAAGGTATACCCAAACATCTCCTGGAGTTTGGTCACACTGAAAGAGTTTTGGGGGTACTTCTGGCATTCATATGCTTTTTTCTCAAAGTCCAGGGATCCCATGCCTTGTGGGTTGACACAGTTCACTTTCAACTCAATTAGAGCCTTCTGAAACAAAGTCATATCCAAAGGACAGATACTTGAAAATGCAGATATACCCTGTGGGCATCCCAAAGAAGCCATATAAACTTAAAGTCTGATTCCTTCTCAAGAATAAAACCAAAACAAAATAAAAAACAAGAACATCTTCTGAAAGTATGACCCCATTTCTACCAAAGCTTTGAATTTCTTAAAAAACCTATGATTCTAGGACTGGAAATAATTTAACATTTCAGATTAACACCTTTTGACTGCTAGCTACTCGATCAACCCTATGCGGTCTGAACACCTGGACTTCTTAGAACAAATAACAATGCTTCATTTTTTTTCCTTTTATTGTTCAATTTCAGTGTAAACAGATGGTTCATCAAGTAAAAAAGTATAATTCTGTGAGCACCCAAAGTCCTAAAAGTTGGGTCTTTCTGTGCCTTCACTGATCTGAAGAAGCAGTTCCATAACCTACTGAATAAAACTAAACTAAAATCTCTATAATCCAGCTTCTTCCAAAGAGTCAATCAACAAAGAAATATTAAGGGCTACAACGTGAAGAAAATTCACAGTCTTTGCCATTTCCTCCATCACATCAGAAAATAAACCTGACTTGTAAAATTCAAAACTTAGCACAATCTCTCCTGAGCAGAGCAACTTTTAAGTTCTGCTTTAATGACTTCCAAACACTTTTCCTTGATAAATGCAGTCTCAACTGTGAACAATATGTGTGACTGTTTCACATTTCACCCAAACTCCCCAAATCCCTTTTGGTATATGGCTAGGATCTGTTATAGCTATGTCCCAAGTTAGCACTAATTAGGTGAAAATGTTTCATTAGAAATATCAGGTAGGATTCACACAAAGGTCAGACTCCATTGGCCTGGAAATTTCTGTGAGGAAGTTGATGGTACAAGCCTATAAGGTTCTAGTCTAACTAGTCTCCTTTGTCTTCTATTAGGACTAATCTAACCTGTGGCCTTTCTGCTAGCTCTGCTCTAGCCAAATGACAAGGATTCCAATAACCTGGAAAAAGAAAATGTAAAACCTCAAATCTCTTGATGTCAAAAAGAAGAAGCTTAATGTTTTTTGTTGTTGTTTTGTTTTGTTTTGGGGTTTTTTTTAATTTAAATTCAGTTAGCGAACATATAGTACATCATTATAGTGTTAGTTGAGTTAGTTGAGATGTGTCATCATGTTTCAAAACAATCCACAGTGACCTTCATCTCAGAAGATAAAGGAAATGTTTTATCTCCATATCTCATTTATAATGTAAACTCTGATTAATAAAAATCAATTGGGAATAAGATGTTTTATTTAACTAAAGCTTAAGCAGATGTTTCAAGTGTTATTTTTTTTTAAATCCAAAATCAATTAGTTTATTTCCATACCTCATTAAGATTTCTCAGATATAATGTAATGATTCACTGAACATATAATTCTAGAAGATGTTATTTCATGTACTCAATCTTTAAGATTGGGTAATTTTATTATCTTTCTTCTGAATCTTAGAAAGCAGAAAAAAATCTGGCTAACAAAGAATGTATTGAAGTTACTGATTATTAAATACCATTTCAAGACATAAATGCGAAATGAAACAACACACCTGATTGAATGATGAATCACTATCAGAGCAATTATCTGTGCAGTAACTGTTGCTTTTCTCCTTCTGGATTTTTTTCTGCCTCTCTTGACTTCGCATCTCATCTTCTTCAAACTTATTAATCATAGATTCCACCACTACCATCATGATATTCTTCAGGGAATGCATCATTTCTTTGTATCTTTAAATTCAAAGCAGTCTTGGTAAGAGAAAGACTATTAGCACAAATTAAAACACTCAGCTAAATTAAACTATCTTACGTTTTTTTCTGTAAAGTCCCTTTAAGAGCACAGTTCTAAAAAGAAAAAATAATGTATCAGTTTTTCCTAAAGAACAAGTAGCACAATGGAATTCACACAACAGGAATAAAAATTAACAAGAATTCCAAAACATATATTATTTCACAGGTTTCTTCATCTGATTACATGGACCAAGGTAGTAAAATTAATACATTCTAAGGCCAGATGTTCCAATGGCATGGATACCTGTACTCCACAACAGTCAACTGCTAATATCATGGTACCAGAGCAGTCTATCTTACATGTCCCTTTTATTCCGTTTATTTCTATCTCTTTCTCTATCCTGCTCCCTTCCTCTATTTTCTTTCCTTCCCTTCTTCCCTGCCTATTGTTATAGGCACCTACAGCCACCATTAAGACCTAAATAAGAGTTAAGCTACCAGTAAGTCCTTTGAAACAGAGGCTAAAGAACCCACTGTCAGAGATGTTAAGAAAGGGATTCCTGCTTCTCTCTCTCCCACTCCCCCTGCTTGTGTTCCCTCTCTCGCTGTGTCTTTCTCTGTTAAATAAAAATAAATAAATAAAAAATAAAAAAATCTTTAAGAAAAAAAAGAAAAGCAAGGGATTCCTGAAATTGGTAAGAGTTTGAACCAGATAGCTTCTAAATCCCTTTTAGCTCCAGTCTTAGAAAGATGGGGTCCCTGGGTGGCTCAGTTGGTTATGCGTCCAACTCTTGATTTCGGCTCAGGTCATGATCTCAGGGTCATGAGATCAAGCCCCACAAGCCCGCTTAAGATTCTCTCTCTCTCTGTCCCTCCCGCAATTCACGCATGTGTGCTCTCTCTCTCTCTAAAATAAATAAAATCTAAATAAATAAAGTCTCAAAAAGAACTTATAAAGTTCTCCACTTATTATGTGCAAACTCTCAAGCATCCATATTAACATTAGATTGAGATCCCAGGGCGCCTGGGTGGCTCAGTCAGTTAAATGTCTGCCTTCAGCTCAGGTCATGATCCCAGAGTCCTGGGATCGAGTCGAGGCATGCATCGGGCTCCCTGCTCCATGGGGAACCTGCTTCTCCCTCTGCCTCTCTCTCTCTCTCTCATAAATAAATAAATAAAATCTTTAAAAAAAAAAGACTGAGAGCCCCAAAATCCTAGAAACTGAATTTTAGAGCTAGATGAAACTACTAAAAAAAATTCAATCTAGCCTTTTATTTTTTCCTAAAGAACCTGTAATATGTGACCAGGACCACTGAAATTTCTATATTTAAAACAAAAAGGCATAATGATTTAAATAAACATAGGGAATAAAATATTATTTTGGAATCAGAAACCCTGGATTACAATCCTGACTACTTTACCTACCAGCTTTGTCATCATAAATCAGTTTCATTTTCCTCAATTATAAAATGAGATAAAAAGAATACAATTTAACTGACCTATTTCATATAGCTGTAGCAAGACATAAGAGTATGTATCTGAAAGTTCTTTGTAAATATAAAGCATGAAACATATATTTATTATCATTTTGTAATAAAAATATATTAGGAAAATAAGCACAGAAACTTCCCTTTCTTTATATTTCCGATAAATGGGTCATTGTAACTCCATAAATCTGAGGAAGGATAGGTAAGTTACTCTCATATAAACAATAACACCATGCTGGGGTTTTGGATAGAAATAGGAGGCTGAGATTTTAAAGTTTAAAGGAATTTTAAAATACATCTTAAATTACATGATACACATTACATATTACTAAATATATGTAATTCTATATACAACTTATAATATATTCTCATATATTTAATATGATTCAGCAACATATAATTTATATAATATATAACTAGAAGCTAATTCAACACAAAGTTAATTTATGTATGTATTTTTAAAGCACCAGAAATTGTGAGAAAACACAAAAATATTGAAAGAAGATGAGAATATTTAGGAACAATGCAGGAGGAAAACACATACAGAAGAGAACTGCTATAGAGGTGAGGAAAAAGTCCAGGGAAGATCCAAGTTTAAGGTAAGGGGATATAAACAGCAAGAAGGAATCCGAGGACACCCATCAGACTAAATGGCAAAGTACATATAGGATAACTGAAAAAGCCTCCTCCTTTCCCCTCTACACATTCTCAGCAGCAAGCAACAGGGAAGCATAACAATGCCTTGGCAGCAATCAAGAACTATCCATCAAATGTTACTCTCTCCTTCCACAGTATTTGTATTATAGCTAGACACAGGTCTAAACTACAGTACCCATACTCCTTTCCAGTTAGGCATAGCCATGTAAACAACACAAAGTCCTTTCCCCTTATAATTTACGATATAGTAATTTAATAAATGAATATAAAGGTAAGAATCTCAATGATGTATATAGGTTAGGATCAAGGGTCATTAAAATCCACAGAAAATATATAAGTTTCATCTTAGACATGTTTCCTCCAGACCTTTTTGAAAACACCAACATGAATTCTTCTGCAAGAAGTATCAGCAAACTGACCACAGAAAGAGATAAGAATAAAAAATTTTATTTTTATCTTTTCTAAAGATTTTATTTTTAAGTAATCTCTCCATCCAACAAGGGGCTCGAACTCAGAATCCCAAGATCAAGAGTCGCATGCTCCACTGACTGAGCCAGCCAGACACCCCAAGAATAATAATTTTTAAAATTTAAAAAAACAAAAAGCTAGAGAGCCAGAGCCTCAATATCAAGAGTCAAATGAACTAGTCTTCAATAGTAGCCACTGCAGTTTTGAAAAAGCCGAAGTAAAACAAATATAAAATGGACTATAAACACCATTAAGACTCATTCAATACTCCAAGAAGTCAAAATAAGAAAAAGTTCTAAGAGGTAATGAATAAAAACCACATCAATTAATAATGAAAATCTACATGGTTAGTAGTTGCACTTATATATATGAGGAATAGATGATAGACCCTACAAATAAATTCTTCTATCTGTAAACCTCTATTTAAAAAATATCAAAATGTTTAATTAAGAAAATAATTTCTAATTATTACAGAAAAATGCTGTTAATAGACATACTATTGCCTAATCATTAGTCCTAAATAATTTCTCAATTTCACACACACACACAAGAAAAAAATAATACTCTGCACAACTTAAAATCTATCATCTACAACTCACAAAGCAGAATACACTCATTAAGACATTCAACATCTTTGTGAGGTAATTATCATTGTTTTAATTTTTACACGTGGATGAACTAAAACATAAGAAAATTAAATGGCTTATGCAGATATAAAAAAATTTCCTAATATTCCCATATAAAACTCTGCTCTTAGCATGAAAATGCTTTCATTTTCTGACTAACAAAATATTTTAATACTCCTTTTAGAATAAATTTAATAGTACCACCAGAAATAGATTACTAGAAATTATATTATCCAAAGATGAACATGACTCTAGTTTGTGTTTTTTCTTCAAATCAAGAAATAAGAAATCCTGGAGCACCTAGGTGGCTCAGTCTGTTAAGCGTCTGCCCTTGGCTCAGGTCATGATCCCAGGATCGAGTCCCACATTGGGCTCCCCACTGGGTGGGGAACCTGCTTCTCCCTCTGCATGCTACTCCTCCTGCTTGTGCGCTCGCTCTCACTATCTCTCTCTCTCTCTGACAAATAAATAAATCTTTAAAAATAAATAAATAAAATAGAAAACACATGGAGGTTGGGGGGGAATGGTGAGCTCCCCTGGAGAGCATAGGAGCTCCACACCCCACACCTTGACCCACAACGCCTCCACCTAGCTGCTGGTGACTTGTGTCTTTTTCTAGCAGGCTGGTGATCAAGGAGGAGCAAGATGGCAGAGGAATAGGAGACCTAAATTTCGTCTGGTCCCAGGAATTCAGCTAGATAGTTATCAAACCATTTAGAACACCTACGAACTCAACAGGAGATCGAAGAAAAGAATAGCAGCAACTCTCTGAACAGAATAGCGACCACTTTCTGGAAGGTAGGACGTGTGGAGAAGTGAATGAGAGGCAATACTCGGGAAGATAGACGGAGGGGGCGGGTACCTCCGTCAGCCAGTACTGCTAAGTGATAGAGCAGCGGAGCCCAAAATCAGAACTTTTAGAAGTCTGCTCTGCTGAGGGACGTCGCTCCAGTGGCTAAGCGGGGGGTGGAACCCTCACTGGGACAGTACGGTCTCAGGACGCTCGGGGTCACAGAAAGACCGGGGGTGCCTGAGTGCGGCAGAGCTCCCAGGTATTGGAGCAGGGAAGCCGGCTGCAGAGACAGAGCTGAGGAGTGGGCTCTCAGCTCAGGGTTGCCATAAACCGTGATCTGCGGCACAGTCGGGCCACTGCTCTTCCAGCAGGGACCCAACAAGTGGCAGATCCAGGGAGACTCCCTTTCTCCCCCAGGAGGAGCGGCATGGGAGCACACCACAGGGACCTGCTGGGTTTGGAGACTCCACATGGGGTCGTGTGCCAGAGATAGAAACACTCAGTCACAGGCTGAGTGAGCATGGAGTGCGGCAGAGACTGGGGAGACAGGAGTGATTGACTGCTTTTCTCTGAGGGCTCACTGAGGAGTGGGGCCCCAAGTTCTCGGCTCCTCTGGGCAGAGATTGGGAGGCCACCATTTTCACTCTCGTCCTCCAAAGCTATACAGAAAGCTTTCAGGGAATAAAAGTTACCAAGAGCAAACCCCGAGCATATTACCTAGCCGGGCCCCTGGCAAGGGCGGTGCAATTCCACTTCAGGCAAAGACATTTGAGAATCTCTGCAACAGGCCCCTCCCCCAGAAGATCAGCAAGAACATCCAGCCAAGACAAGTTTATTCATCAATGAAAACGGCAAAACCCCAGTGATAGGGGAATACAGCACATAGAATTCATGGCTTTTTTCCCATGCTGCTTTAGTTTTTCAAAGTTAATTTTTTAATCTTTCTTTACTTTTTTCTTTTTCTATTTT